GAACCAGCACAAGAATAAAGGTGAATTTACTTGATTTATTGAATGAAACACAAATGGTTATGATCTCTAAGAAGCAGATTTCCCAGAGTGTTTTCCTTTTTGTTTTTGCTTTTCTCTCTTTTTTTTTTAATGTCCTGTGTAACAAATGTGCCCTTTGAATTATTAAAAGAAAATCTAGTATTAAAGTGAGATTGTTGCCCTGACCTAGGAGCTTTGTCACAAGGTGCTACTAGAGCAAAGGCTGAAAGGGGACAGCTGTTTCATTAGCCAGAGTTTTCTCTTAGGCTCTGTTAAGCAGGAGAGGGATTTTCAATGATTTCAGTCTTTTCTAGCTTTGGTCAAGCATTAGGAGCCAGACCCTCAAGAAGGATAATTGCCACAGCTCTTGAGACCAATGCAGCTGCCAAAATGTGTTCATTGAGTTTGTATCCTACCCAGGCATTTCCCTGAGGAGTAGGACAGCCCATGCCTGGGCTTTGCAGGAGTGCTTCTCCTTTTCCTGGAGTATGCCATGCTCTGTGCTCTCAAAAACGAGTCCTCTCCAAGCGCTGGGCTACAGAGTCTGCTCTGTTCTGGCAGCTCATCTCTCCTTTGCCTGTTTTTGCATATACTGGTTTCACAAAGCCTCAGCATTCTGAAAACCAGTAAAATTAATAAGGAAAGTAAATCAAGCAGAAAAAAAACGAAGAGCTACCCTAGCATGAGGTAAACAAAAGCCCTGCTGCTCAGCCATGCCCGCTTGGGGCAGAAGCGGAGCAGAACGTGCCCTGGCTGCCTCTGGGCACCCTGGCCAGCCCAAGGCACTGCCCCAGCCTCGCTGCCCTTCAGCCCTGCACAGGGGGCGGCTGCCAGGGCAGCAGAGCCTGGGCAGCCCAGGGCAGTGCTGGCAGAGCAAAGCGTGTGCATCCTGAGTGCCAGCCCGGCTGTGACAGCGCAGACTCAGCCAGGGGCTCCTGACTGTCACCCTGCCAGAGCTCAGTGCTGGGGCCAGCAGCACCTGGAACAGCAGGATCAGGCCCAGAGTCACTCCCCACTGGTGCTTTGGGTGCAGCTTTGCAGGGCAGGTCTGCCACCACCCCTGGCATGCTGACAGGGCTCAAACACCCGTGACAATGTTCAGGTGCCAAGCTGAGGCCAGCCTCTCCCCACTGAGCCCTGCAAGCTGAGTCCCTCTCACTCATCTTCAGTTCAGTGTTGCTCCATGCAGCTGCCAGGCCTTCAGGGGGCCACAGAGGAACAGGGAAAGTCTGCCCACAAGCTGCTGTTCCTGAGCTTCTTCCAGCAGGGTGGCTCCAGGCTGCTGCACAGAGCTGCAGGCTCTGTGCTGGAGCAGGGCAGGGTCACCACCATCCCTGCACAGCTGCGTGATGCGAAGCCCGGAGGGATGGTGTGGTTTTGCCCACATTCACACTAGTGGTACACAAGCTCTCAGGCCCCCCTCTAACCACTAGACAATGTTTCCTGCCTTGTTATGCTATTGGTATTTTTGCAGAATAATTTTGCAGATGGGGTGGGCTGGTAGGCAGTGCAAGGGGGGTGGTGACCAATGGGTGCTGAGCATCTTTCAGAACTGATGCCCCTTTGCATCTCAACATCTTTCCCTTCAGCTCCTGCAGCTCCAGAGACCCTTCTAACTCCTCCCTCAACCACACCCCGATGAAAGCCAGCACGGAGTAGATAGGGGTGAATGGGGAGGGGACACACAGGCCGGTCCACATTTCTGTACATCAGGTCAGAGGGCTGCACAGAGTCTGCGAGATACCCTCCCTGTGATCCCATCACCTGAGAGAGACCTGGGAGTCATGGACAGGTAAAATGAGTGTCTCTAGTTTCTTGCTTCTGTGAGAGATGAGAGTCTTTCTGTCAGAATTTACTTGCTTTCCCTCTGGTGTTGACCATCCCTTTCCCTTTCCCCATCTGACTCACTGATCTAACTCCCTGCCTGTCCTGCTCCTGCATCTCTGTGTCTCTGTTGTTCTTTCTCTTTGACTGTCTACCACCTGTGCTCTTTTCCCTTTCTGTCATTTCTTTCTTGTGGCTATTCTTTGTTCCTTTCATTGTTTTTCTTTTCTAGAAATAAAGGATGATAACAGAAGGATGAACAGTCAGATGCTATCTGCTGCTTAAGCCCCTCAATCCAATTGCACTTGCACTGCAATTAGTCTGTGAGCTTATTATGGCAAATCACTCTCCACAATGGCATACTATGCACACACTCAGGGGGCTTCACTCTGATTTCATGAATCTTTATTTGAGGAGAAGATCTCTGTTCAGGCTGCTTCTTCAGTGTCCAGGTGTAATTACAGCTCCTGTGTCCTTGCTGCTTTCCCTTGAGCTATGCTATAGCCATAGGAGTTGCTTGTGTATCCAGCAGTTTGCATCTAGCCAGACATCTGCTCAGTTGTTCCACACAACATCTGTTCATTCATTCTTCTGTTTGCACCTGCCATATTCTGAAATCCTCCCTGGGGGGGAAAAAAAAAAAGCAAAAAAAAAAAGCAAAAAACAAACAAAAAAAATGCTGGGATGGTGAACTCCAGAGGAAAGGGAGAAAAAGAGCTGGTGTTAATGAACAATTCTAGTTGAACAAGTGTTTTCCGCGATTCAAATTGTCTTCGATTTGTTCTGAAACTGAAAAATAATCTAAGTGATCGCAATTTTATAATTTTATTTTTCTGTGGTTTGGGGTCATTTCTTGTTCTTCACCCTTATTTGCATCCACATGCGACTCTGCAGGGTCAAAAACATTGAATAGAGAAAAATTGAATGAGATGAGAAAAGGGACAATTATAAGAAGAATCAGAAACATTTTGAAAGCAAATGGTTTTGCCCAAAACTTTAAAAAATATATAAAAGGGAAAGTCTGTTTTCACTTATGTTTTTGATGTGATAAAAAGCATTTTTTCATATGGGTTTTAATGAAACATCAACATAATTGTAATTGTTTTCCACCTGGCATATGTGTTTCTTCAGCAAGCAGTTGCCTTGTGCACAAGGCTCTGCTCTGTTTTCTGCAGTTGTGGCACATCCCAGGTAAGTGCTTTGCAAGCCTCTGACCTACACACCTGTGCAATTTTCCAGGTTATCCTTTCTGGACAACCTGAGGATCTGTCACCACAGAACAGATCCCCTCTCCAGCATCTCTGTTGGCACATGGCACAGTCTTTTCCATATCCTTGCAATAACACATCTAAGGCTTAGAAACCTGTGGTGAACGACTGGTTGATAATTTTGGGGAGAAAAAAAAATTAGGGAGACCAATATGTCTGTGTTAGGAATATACACAGGTGTTCATTTGTAAGTGTTTGCACAAAGGCAGGGAAACAGGGTGAATCCAAGGTGGTAGGGAGTGAGTCAGCTCCAAGAGTGAGAAGGATGATGAAGAACATACAGTGGGTATGGGAAACAGGCACACACCATGAACAGCCAGAGAAAGGGGTGATGGAATGCAGTGGGATCAGCTTGTGCTCTGCTCCTGACACAGCCTGCAACACACCAGAGCAGGACTACAACAGTTCTTATGGGACAGACCTCCAGGAACAGCCTCAGACTGTTGTTGGGCTTAATGAGATGCTTAATGGGGATGCTTTAGCCTCCTGAGTGTGTGCAGTCTTCTCTGTGGACATTCTTCTAACAGGAGACTCAAATGCGATGTACTTCTGCAGGAGCCTGCCAGCACAAAGCTTGGCATAGCAGAGTGTGTGTTCTTCCTCTTTCTGTGTGACAGGACAGGCATTTATGCACTGCAGGCTGAGGGAGGCAGGGCAGGAAAGAGTCGTGTGCCTGTCTGTGGGACAATTAGGGCAGCAAGGCTGCCTGAGGGAGAATGTCTGTGATGCAGGTGAGGAGCAGTAGGGAGTGACACACAGCCTCAAAGCACATCATGAGGCAGCAAGAGGATGAGCATGACTCTGTGAATGAGTACCTGTGATGCAGCGGCCATGTGCCAGGCTGCACAAGGGGCAGAAGCTCCTGGAGGGGCAGAGAGGATGCCTGTCAGCTGGTCATTAAGTTCTCTGCAGTGCCCAAGCTTTATGGTGACACTAGCAAACAGATGAAGGGTGTATACAAGTGCCTAGACTCTCAGATTTAAATTCCTAACAAACCCAAATTCCCCTTTTCTACACTTCACTGGAGATCCTCCAGAAAACCCAGCTCAGTATCTCTTAAACTTACCCCAGCTTAAACTGAACATCAGCCTAACAGTGGGAAAAGATGACAAAGGATGTGATTATTTTTAACCTATTCACTTCTGTTTTGCATTGCTGCGGGGGAGGTGAGTATCTCACCTCAATGAACCCAGCTGCCCGTGTCCCTCCACTTGGCAGTGAGGCTGTTAGAAATGCTCATGACTGCCTCACCCCCTCCCTGTGCTCCTGCTGCCTCTCCCCAGCATAGTCCCTGGGCACAGGAGCAGCCCCATGCCAGTCGTGATGTCTGTCTGCTGTGGAAGTTGTACTTGTGACTGGGGAGGTGTCAGCATGGCTACCATTTATATATTCCATCAGCTGCTGGATGGCATCTTTCCCTGGTCCTGCACACTTTCAGCTCTGCTCTTCTTTTAGGCACTGCTTGGAAGGCATTCAGTCCAGTCTTCTCTGGAGAGATTCTAGTTTGGTCCATCCCTTGCCACAGTGGACTTTCTGGGTTTCACATAGCAACAATAACATCTCTTGATGGCTGAACTCCACACCCTCTCATCTTCACAGGTCTTCTCAGATGTCTTCATCCTCCTCCCTCACTGGTGTCCATGTTCTGGATATTTTCAGATATTTTCACACTCTGCTGAGCCATAGTTGCTGTTTGACTAATCACTATTAATTCACACACCATTTCCACTCACAAGGTCACCTGCTTTATCCCCAGAGTCACGTCTGCATCCTTTCCCTAGAACATTTCATGCAAATTACCAACACTCTTCTCATACAGAGAGGCTTGGATGCGAAGAGGATATTTTTGGTGCTGAGCCCTCAACAGAGACATGGTAAACAACTGGCTGCATGAGTAAATGTAAATTCTCTCTTGTCTTCTCCTGCAGCATCCTCATGCAAAGGAGGCTCTTCCTCTACAACTTCAGGAACCTACGCAAGGCCAAGGGCCGGCGTGAGACCTACCTGTGCTATGTGGTGAAGCGCCGGGACAGCGCCACCTCCTGCTCCCTGGATTTTGGATACCTGCGCAACCAGGTGGGGGAGAGAACACCTTGCCAGCCTGTTCTGGAGCCGGCAGTCCAGTTTGCCTGGGGCAGGAGGGAGCAGAGGGCTGTGACCTGCAGCTGTGCTGGTACAGGCACACCTGGGCACTGTGCAGGAACAGACCCACCTGGGCACTGTGTTGGTACAGGCACACCTGTGCACTGTGCAGGTACAGACACACCTGGGCACTGTGCAGGTACAGGCACACCTGGG